GTCAGCTATTAACTAATTTAAATTGTTTGCATTATATAAAAAGAAAAATGACAGAGTCTGATAAAATATTAACCCCCGAATATCTAGATTGGCATGCCAAATTAAGTGGGCTACCAAGCATTTTGATGGATAAGATTCAGTTGAACTTATATAAAAAATATAAAAAAGAAACTGGACATGAGCCGTGGCAATTATCAAAAGCTGAGATAGTATTAGCAAAACCTCAAGCCCCTGATTTCAAGCCTATTACTTTTGAAGCCAGACCCGATCCAGAGTTAATTATCAAATCCGTGTTAGAGCATTTCACATACTTGAAATTCCGAAATAGTTTTAAAGGGATTGATAATTATAATTTGCATCATCTCAGCCGTGGAGCTCACCATGCCCTATTTGCAATGGAAAACATGGGAATTATGGATTACATGGTGAATGGTACCACGAAAATGGGAATCAGCTCCCTTATGATTCCGAATTAGCGAAGTTGTATTCCCAAGATAAGTTGGAATATTGTCTTACCTGCAACACTTCAAGTAATAAACTCAAGTTAATCGTAGCATAGGATAAAAATTTATTTTATAGAATGTGACCCCAGGTTACAACATAATGTGATATATAGTAGGACAGTATGTGCGTAATTGACTTTTAAATATCAATATTATTTTGGCTTAATTTAGATGACCCAAGAATATTAATATTTTTTTTTCTTGGCAAAGTGGAATCGCGTGAATTGGTGGGGAGGTAAAGTTAGTTAGAGGCATGACGTATGGTCTTTATTTCATAAAAATCGCATAAAAATAAAAAATTGGGAGCCCAGTGCCCCTTTATTATTATAAAAAATTATATTGCCGGGACGACAATATACAAATAAAAAATATATATATCGCTGTTACAGGTGCGAATACATATAAAAAAAAAGATTATCTTTCATAAACAAGGATATGGATGTGATTTTCCAGTCTATTAATATCAAAATATTGTGAAACCATATTTTGCGGATTCATATATTTTCTAACATCTCGAGCGGTATCATTTATGTAGAGATCAAAATCAGTAAAAGGAACGTTATTTCTAATCATATTTTTAAGGTTGGCGACTGTCGTATTTGGGTGAATATTAATTGAATAATCACTGCTGACATGATAATTTAAAGTAATATCACCATTTTCACTTTCTAATATAAAAATAAATAGTAAGTAGAAATTCGCTTTCGAAAAAAAACATATAACAAACAATGTATGTTAACCAGACCTTGA